AAAGTGTTATAAGAAAGTGGCTTATACTTGAACTTAATTTGGCGTTTATCCGGTTGTTGCGAGGTTCTTTGGGGTTAATAATTGACAAGATACAATGTCCTTCGTTTTTCATAAAAACTTGTATATACAAAAAAATGAGAGTTCATATGCTTATAGAAAGAAAGAAAACTTAGTTAAAGAAATGAAAGAAAGGAAAACGCATCAGTCACCATGTCTTTGGATTCTTGTGCAGCAGTGTGTTGTGTGCTGTCGTTGTCGGCCCACGGTTGTGGCTGGAAGCCAGGAGCGGGAGCGGTTGGCTTCCGTCGGCGGCCCCAGAGTTACCGCACCAAGCGCTCGCGCTGTAGGAAGCCGGGGGCAGTGTAGGTTTCTATTCGCTGCCCTCGCTGGAACAGGCTGCTGGTCAGACAGTAGGAGGCCGCCGATTGCCCTGGCCGATGGTGTCGTTCCGCTCTCTGCACGTTCTCCTCGGCCAGTCTTCTTCCACGCCCTCTCTGCACGCACTCCCAAAACTCCCCTTCTTCGTCATCTTCCTTTCTCCCTCTGGGCCAATCCATGGGTTGACTTGCACTTCTCCTTTTCCACATTGAGTCACATCATCACACCGGTATTCTTCACAATTTAGACCCAGTCCGATTTCTAATATAGCAGCCGCATGAGCCAGAAAAACACATGGTTAGCTCTTTTATTAATCTTTCATTTTAGCCTCCGCCATAGCACGTCCTCACGGGGTAGGATATTCCTGGTGTCTGTAGAATTTATATAGGACGCGTCTCTGCATCATAGGGATTGTAGCTGATTTTATAAAGTTTTTGATAACACTTAAGGCATATATTCATATTCATAATATATACTCGAATTTAAGCCGACTGTCTGCTCAAAACACATGACTCGTGTCTGAGGTGAGTACTTCTTGAAGCTTTGAGAGATCAGTATGCCACACCAAAACGTGATTACAATATATATATATATATATATATATATATATATATATATATATATATATATATATATATATATATATATATATATATATATATATATATATATTAGCGGTATTATTTTAACACCATGCCGCATTGTTTACAAACAAAAAGTTATTGAACTAAAATAAGAAAACTATTAATATTTTAATTGTGTATTTTATTGGTGCTTGAAAAATTATTTTGTATGCTAGAAGCCGAAAACTTACTGCTATTTATTGCTATATTGCTGCGTGCATGATCGACAGTATGCGCTTCTCCGTTTATCTAGAAGAGTCGCGTATAGCCAGCCGGCAACAGCCAGGCGGCGCCAGCAGCGTGAGAGCCCACGGTTATGCCCTGTCTCGTTGTAGCTTGGCAAAGAATGAACGATAAGCCCCACATTGCGTGCCGACGGCTTCGATATGCGTTACGTATACGAGCGCAAAGCACACATATTGGAGCATGACGCAGCAAAAGCCTGAAACTTCTTCGCAATAAAAGCGCACTTCGGTGATACGTAGTCACGTTCCGAGTGGCCCGCCAGGGCCGTAGCTTCCGCTGTACTGGAATGTTATGCGATCACGGCTTCCTGGCCTACACAGTATTTCTTGCTTCAGACAGTAGGCTAAGCAGCACCACCAGAGTAATAGCTCACGTTTAAGCAGTGCAGCCGCCACTCCCAGGCATAGACAATGTTTCTTGCTTCAGTCGCTGGATAGTGCCAGACCAAACAGCACTGCAGGTTGCCTATGCTCTTACCCCGAGCGTAAAAGAAAAGAAGGCCAGGTGACATTGCCTAGTCAGTCTCGCTCGAGCTCTTTCCCGACCATTCTAGTTCGTTCGAGATGAATAGCGTAGCAGATAAAGAACCGAGCGCCGTGTTTTCCATTCATTCGCTGATTCTCTGTCGCGACAGCCAGCTGTTACGCCGACATACAGTGAAAAAAGCCCGTGCGTCTACTTTCCCGCACAACACTCATAGAGGCAATCACCACAACTTACGGAGGCAGCTCAGCGAATGACGATGCCGAAACGTAAGTTTAGAACAAAAAACTCAGCCTGAGTTGTGACATTAAGCAATGCAAGCGTGACGTTTTGCATTGCTTAATATCACAACTCAGACTGCGTTTTTTGGTCTAAACAAATGTTTCTGCATCGTCATTCGCTGAGCTGCCTCCGTATGTTGCGGTGATTGGCTCTCCGAGTCTTGTGCGGGGGAAAGTAGACGCACGGGCTTTTTTTTAAGTCTACGCGCCATCCCCCTCTCTTTACTGCGTGTGTCGCGGGACGAGACGCTTACTGGATGTGCCCAAGTGTTCCCAGTGCCTCGCAATAGGAACAAGCGGACTGAAGAGGAGAAGGCAGAACAGGAGCGGTGGCACGCTGAGTATGACCGTGCTCGACGTGCCATGGAGACACCGAAAAGTCAAAGGTGGCCAGGGCATCAAATACACAGGCAATTAATGTCTAGGAAACCGTTGTAGAGATTGGCGCAATTAGAACAGCGGAATTTAGTCCTCATATGAGGCAATCAAAGCTGTTGCATTTCAACGTAATTTGTCACGAATTACTCCAGAACCACAGGCCGTTTCTATTTTCTTCTTTTAAGGTTCCCCTGTCGTCCTCCTTAGTAAAGGTACTACTAGACTGCCATTTAAAAACTAATTGAGAACTTTATTAAACCGCATGCGAAAGTAAGCACATGCAAGTAAATTGACTACTGTCACATTCGCGTCAGTGAGGCCACTGACCAAATTCTACAATGCACTCAAAGCACGGTGTCAAATTGACTCGCAGAGATAGCACTTTAAAAGTTATCGCAGCTGCTTTGCCGTTATCACTATTTCCAGTGCGAAGCTAATAAACGCTAATAAAGCGTTAATTGACTGCCAAGTAATAAAACCTCCGGCCGCGCGCTTAGCAGAGAAAAAGGCCAGGTTGGAAGGGGGAGAGGGAGGGGGGGGGGCGGGGCTTGGTGAGGCGAGGGAGAAACAAACAAGCAAGACCGGAGCTGGTCTTCTGTGTTGAGAGCGGAAAGTCAGGGCTGCGTAGGTCGATCTCTCGCTCCCGCGCAATTAGCGTAATGAAACGCCGCTGTCAACTTTTTCTTTTCTTATTTTGTCTGTCGCTTTTTCGTGCCAAACCTTTGCGCAACTGTAGCTGTTTTGTAGCTAGAGCGGCGAGAGACTAGACAAAATTGAATTCAAAGGGGTTGACAAGCGTTTGGTTCTGAAGGCTCTTGCGCACGGGGACTGGACACTCCCGCTGGCGAGAAAGCGAAACTTATTAATTCTTGGGCCTCTTGGTTTGACTATGTAATTTTCTTGCGCCTCCGGAACGACCTCCTAATTAACAGGTTTGTTAACGTGCGTGTTTGTATATACTGTATAGACGAGTCGTCATGTTTGGCTTAGGTCACTTGGCAGCGGAAATAATACGTGTGTCTGTGACTGCTGATGACGTCTACATGCCTAATAACACATTTAGTTTGCTCAGATTATGTATGTGGTTGACAGCATTTTTAATAATTAATATATATTAATCGGCGATACTAGCGTTTACGAGGACTTAATCGAGGTACGCAGACGAGTTATCGTTGCGACCGAACCACGAAACGCTTGGTTGCGATGGTAACTCGCTGTCGTATCTCGACATAAGCCGCAGCGAACTAGTCAAACATAAATCAACGCTACTTTGTGAATGGATGTTCATTTGCCCTTGAGAGCATGATACCTACCGTTTAGATGGATGCAACGAATGGCCTCAATATTTATTTCCGAAATTTTCCAAATTTATATTCCCTGCACACATTTTTTTTTATTTGGCCACTTCATTCTGATTGGTTTTAGGAAGACAGCTACTACTGCGCTGATGATATTATTTCCTGTAAACAGCGCTTTTAAAGCCCATGCAGTTTTGAAAGCACGAAGCTGCAATCACGGCGCGGCCCATACCTAAAGTATCATCCCATTCAAAGTACTTTGAGGCTATAAAACGGCTAAATTATAATATTGAAGGACGGATGAGAACGCGAACGCTGATAGCGCTTCTTGCAGATTGCCTGCATTGATTTCCTGAAGATATATAAGAGTTTTTAAGATCTCCAATCACGGTAATGTGATGCAGAATCGGTGGTCAAACGTTTGACATACCACACGTCAGGCTCCATGGAGTGAGATCTCGCTACTAGAGAATCCAGCCAGTATTCGTGTCCTCGATCCGCGACCCCACCGGTTTTTGTATGCACTAACTTAGTACAAAACGCAACATTGATAGCAGAAAGAAGTGATCGTCCATTATTTCTTCTTTTTATTAGAAATGAAAAGCTGTCAGTAAATCCTACTTGTGCAGTGTAAAGTGCGCGTTCGAAAATACAATTTTAGTAGTAATAATTAGTGCTTCTCGGTAGGTGTCTGAATAAAGGGCGTCAAAACACTGATCTCGTGTTCGTGCATACAGTGTCGTACAGCGTGCACGCCTGCGGTTGCGTATTTATATCTGCCTGATGATTGTTAAATATCCTCGGTTAGTGGCTGTACAGCACCGACCCATTTGCCCGTTAACTCCGTTGAAAAATGTTTGGCGAACATCAAGACACTGATTTCGCTATTAAGGCAATCACAACGGCTAACCTGATTTTATGTATTCTCATGCAATTTTAGTGCAGATAATTAAACGTATTACTTTATTGAGAACATGAATACACATTAGGCACCTTAAAAAAATCTTTATATATAAATATAGAGTGAAAACAAACTTGGAGAGAAGGCTCCTTAAAGGAAAAAAATATCAACAGCAAGAAAATTTTTGTTCAGAAAAAATAAAACAAAAAACAAAAATCCCAGAGATTTTAATATATGTTTGGGTTATCGGTCTATTTCTCTGCAGAATATAGCAATTCGTTTTATAAAGGGACAACTCTTATTTAACCTATTTTGAACAAATGGCTTTCACTAGCCGTTTGAAACCTAAAAACTTATCGCTGTTTTTGTGTTTACCTTTCAAATGCACAGCGCACTTTGTGTTTCTTTCCAGACGGAAAGTATTTCGCATCTGAGGATTCTTACTCGGACGAGGATGACTCTCATGATGAGACATCTAGATATGGTAAGCTAACCAACGGAACCTCCTGACATTTTATTCTCGGAGTGCGAACCTATAGGACTACCATATCATCGGCATATATATGCAAGCTTGATAATTTGGCTTTATTGACTGAATCAGTAACCCAATGGTCCTCAGCCTGCGTTAATTCCACGTTATTCTCCACCAGGTAGTATGGCTTTCCAAACCTTAAATCTATGTTAATTGACTTAGACGTGACGATGGCTCGGTTTTTATTATTGGGTGTCGATATCGTTTGGCGGTAAAAGTATTAAAAAGCGCCTGGCCTGCGCAGTGTATGAATTCACTTAGATCTCTGTATTTTAATACATCTGTTGTGATTTTTTGCAGTAACAAAGAGAGCTGGCAAGGCCATTTCTTATAGGTGTGCACCAAATTCTAGACAAAAAAAGACTAAACGTATAAGCTTTCTTTTAATATATGCTGATTATTTTCAGTTTAAGATATCAAAACAAAAACATTTTCGCAGATTAATTTTGATCTTAAAACCAGGGGCGTTTTAGGGGGGGGTCAATCAGCAAGGATAATAATATATATATATATATACTCGAAAGCGGCATACTCATTTGTAAAATTGCTTACTTAAGAGACAATTAGCATAAAGCACAGCTATGACTGCTCTATGTCCAACGCTGAAGCTTTGATGTTTTGTTTTGATCTCTGAGACTCAAGGTCTGGGGTTCAAATAATGAACGTGATCTTTTTCCATAAAATAATTTTTGGTGCATCGCTCAAAGCGTTAGTATACTTTCACTTCAATGAATCTTTTTTTTTTTTACTGTGGCATTATTTTTCTGCTGCGCATTTTGAACGCTTCTTGATACATCATTGCAGAAATCTAAAAGTTTACTGGAAACGCAAGGTCACATACACCCTTTCAGTGTGTATCTTTTCTTTAGGAGGCTAAAAAAAATGTGAGCACATACTCTGCTGGCTATGGCGGGGAAAGCTTCTTAACGTGCATTTGAAGCGACACTGCCGAGGCGCACACGCGTGACACGTCTTATTTTGCAGGCCCCAACAACGGACCGTCGACGTTTTCCATAGCCCTTGCCGCTCTCCTCGTCGCCCAGTTTCCCGTAGCGCTGCTCTGTTTGTAGCGCCTGGGATGCCACGCCATCTTTACGGCCTTCGCGGATACGTCAGTCAAGCACACATGCGCCTGCGTCTCGCTGGTGCACGAGGTCCCATCCCGAGGTGCTTCGAAAGTGATGTCCTAGAAAACAAAAGAGCAATAGCGCCGTGTGGACGTGGAAGAGCAATCGACACAGGGCGAAGCAAGAACAATCGCCTGCCATATACCGAGGACGTGAGGAGCGTCGGTATGACTCTGGTGCCCGGAGCACGTCTCCCTCCGACTGGCGTACCTACCGCGTTCTGAAAAGTGGTCCCTCGATTTCCATCTCATGACGTCGTAGGAGTGTCGTGCTGTCGTCGGCGGCGATCGCGGTGGTGCCACATCAGCTATGCTGGATGTGGGTGGCAGACGCCCATGCTGCTGCAAGTCCCTCTCCGGCTTGGCAGTCCAAGGAAGCTTCCGCAGCCCGGAGTTGAGACCCGCTGACGACCCTGACACTCGCGTTCGCTCGATCTTTTTTCCAGGACATCTGGCACCCACACCTAGGATCGCGGCACCACAGAAGCCGGCATGACATGTCGGCTATGTGACGTCATTGGCTGCCACTTCCTGACCACCTTTTGGCGTATGGGCGGGAGGGGACGCTTAACACAGCGGGCGAAGACGTGTTCCGGGCATCGCAGTACGACCTTCGCCTGCTTTCGCTTAGCGTTCTGTTACAGCGGTGTGATCGAGCGTTGAGAGGCTCAATACACCCAAAACGAGGAAGATTCCAGCAGATAACGCTATTACGATGTAGTGTGTTGTTTCCCCTTGAAATGGCGTTGAAAATGTGTTCTGAAATACTGGTGTCGGGAAGAGGTATTTGGGGAAGTGTTTAGCATAAATTGTATTTTTGATATCAATCGGGAGTATTTCGTTTGAAACTGAGGTGCTACACCACACTTCTCGGGTGAATGTGACACATTCGCATTGAATTTTTCGCGATAACATAGTGTATCGCCTAAATTATTACGCAAATTGATGAAATTGAGAGCACAAACTTGAGAATGAACTTAGCACAAAAGTCATTGCCTATAAGGTGATCATTTTAGCCCGTCCTTTTTCATTTCGTCCTAGCTAGTGCCGAATTATTTTGACGTCGAGTCCCCAGCAGCGCCCCTCCCCCTCGCCCGTTCCACACGTGTTTATTTTTCTAGAAATCATCATTCGTTCATATGTAAAATATTACGAGATAAACGTATCATAGTCGCGCGACAGATAAGCGAAATACTGGATAAGATGGGTGCAGAAGTAGAGTCTTTTAGAAGAGATGTTATCATTTCCTTGATGCGCGACATGTGATGGCCTCTAAGGCCACATGACTCTTTCCTAGCGCCATCGGCTACATCGCAAGATGGGGAGAACGCATGACATATCTCACCTCTATGATTTTCTTATCGAGGTTTGGTAAGACAATTGACGGCATTGTTACAAATACCAATACAGATGGTGTAATATAAATTACGTGGCAGAAGAAAAAAAAACTTTAGGTGTGTGATACTTCCTTTGTGTCAAGAGGAAACAGGAGCTGAAAATAAAAAAAAAATAGAAAGCACGTGTTGTTACAATTTCATGATTAAAACAATTTCATGATTAGCTTTGAAGTCAACCCAAAGCTTAATAAGATTATGCACTACAGCGTGCAACGATTGAAACTTTTTTTATTTTTTAAATAATAAAACTGTGATAAAGAAAGCGATGGGGCAATGTTAGGTTTTTTGTTCTGTATGTTACTTTGAAATTAAATACGCATTGCATTTTTAAATAAATGGAAGTACACAGAATTAAGAATATTCAACTTTCTATATAAAAAACATGGTTATCCATTCATAGATAGTGTACGTTACGTAAACGTTGGCGTATATAATGGCAGCTAAATACAAGAAAGAAACAAAACTTTAGAGATTTTCTCCGGACAAGCTATGTCCCAAACGAATGCATGACACCATAACTACCTGCCCGGAGCATCAATCTCACAGGTTGCGCACACCGCCAACCAACGTGCGTAAACAAAAGCACACCCTTTAAATATAAATATATACACGGGAAGTCCCGCAGCAGACACATGTCCCCAATGTTGTCGGACCCTTTTGATGACTTATGGCTGAGAAGACGGAGACGCGATACAGCTTGCAGGCACGTGACATCTAAAGATATTCATCTTAATATGAGCGCACGGTGTACAAAGTTTGCACGCGTTATATTTTCAGCAATAGCACTTTGAGTGGGTTTTTGTTTGTTTGCAGTACGACGGAACTTATCCCACAACAATCCAGATCCGAGGAAAGTTATTTTTTTAACCATATTTTAAAATATGAATAAGACTAAATTCAGAACCACGAACACTCTCCAGCATTCACATATTTGTTTCATAAGGTTAGTGGCAAGACCGCTGGACAAAACTGAAGTTGATATGAGAGTGTTCTGGGGTCAAACGTTTTCCGAAACCAAAACACATATTTTCCTCCTAAGTTGCATTGGCTGTATGGAATCATACGACGATTCTAAAAGAAACTAAAGACCCAAACTTTAATTAACGAATCAATCGAGACAACCACGCCTTTTTTCTCGAACTTTGCGGACATGTTGACTTCGGGTTATGAATACCAGACAAATCATACAGTACGTATTGACTCAATTTAAGAATTTTGCTTCTGTGGTCTGCTTAATATGTTTTCTTCTAACGCATTAATTTGCAAAATCTCGCCATATTATGAGCTGGCAAAAAGGGGTAAGTACGAATTAAAATAGCGCATTTGTCAAATAATTTGAGCATTTAGCGAGTTGTTCGTGTATTGTTATTAGTGAATCGACTGCCATAAAAAGATCGAACGATGACGACGGGCGACGTGCACTTATGGGAACACGTCCTTCCGTTTTTCACTTAGCATAACCGTTTTGTCAGCATTTAAAGAAAAAACGCATTCTAAATGGGCAACTATATTGCTCCTCGTTCCCACTGCACGCGTTTTTTGTGCTGTTAGTCTAGTAAAAATAAATTGGTAAGGATCTCCCCCTTCTGGCAAATTTCTTAAGCGGAAGTAAAAAAAAACTAGTCTTCAATTGATCAAGAAGACTGCAGCTATTGCGATACAACTCTTATTGTACTTATTAATAAATTGGGTTAAAATGTGCATTTTAAAAACAGCTGATGGTGGAAGACTCTCCGATGACAGGTAATTTTTTTTGCGTAAATTCTTTTCTCTACAAAATAAGTGAAGGGGGATCGATTGCTGCATTCAAGCGAAACTTTGGATTCAATATCGAGCAAGTTTAGGAATTTAAATACATCTTTCAGTTTCAAGCAGTATTGCGGATGCACAAAAATGTGGTCAAATTGAATCCATGGCCCGAACATCCGGAAGAACAGATGAGCGTGATGGTCCAAATTTGCATAACGCTTTCCTTAGAATAAGCCTCATTAAACTTGCAATATGTCTCTTTCTTACGATGAATCGATATATATATATATTTTTTTTTTTGTAATAATGTTCGTGTGTTGTTTCGTTATCTCTACTATTATCCGGTCGAACACGGTCGTGTAAACGGCCACTGATCACTTTTCAATGTTAACTTCTCAACCTGCATGATCCGTAAGAACAATGATGACCCAGAAATGAAAACTAAGAGACGGAGTACTGTTTCCCCGCCGGGATTAAGGTCAGACCTATAACAAAGGTTTTTATAACTGAGCCTATTGCCTATCCTTGCGGTCATTGGCTCATGAGGAGCCAATGACCGCAATTTACAGACGGAGCATAGTGTACGACGAAGCAGCAATATCAGTAATCCTAAGAAGTTGGATCTCCGCTGACAATCCAAGAGCGCTAGCGTCACTCTTAATGCTCCAGTAAATGTTCTTATCTTGGGATAGAAAAAAGTAAACAATCGGTGCCGTGTTATTCGCTTTATTTTTTTTTAGTTAATAAAAATGATGGGCGTACGCGTGTGCTACACCGCAAAGTAGATGCGTGGGCTCATGGAGGTGTTGGTTCATCTCTAGCCATTGATCGGCATGCCTTCAAGTTGTTAGGGCGTCATAAACACAGTTCCCAGATGTCGTATTGAACTAAAAACCAATATTATAGAGATCCTACCAAGTGTAAAAGGCAGGTATTCCTGACATGCCTTAGGTTTGGGTGTGTATTAGAGTCATGCCTAAACATTACAACGGCATATGGGCACCAGGGATTACGGAGTGGAACGAAGTTAAGGTGTATGGTGTTTTTATTTTTATATGCATGCGACAAAAATATTCTAATTAAAGACTTAAAAGTCAGATGGCGAATTAAACCGAAGAAATCGTATCCTTAATTGTGCTTCTGCTAAAACTTTTTCTTGAAATATTCTTTTTTTGGAAAGCGGTAACGAGCTATTAGTGAATACATGTTTCATCGTCTGGCAGTACAAGTCAATTTGAGAGTGAAAATTAAACGGCCCTGAAAGAGGACTAGATGTTCGCATTGTTTCGGCAGAAAAAAAGAGCAGTCTCGTTTGAATTTGCAATACACGAAAAGACCTAAAATCGTCAAGTAAAGCCGGGGTCTCACTGCTATTATATTGTACCAAAAACTGTCTGCAAACGTAACTCACCACAATATCCGTGGTTCGAATGCCGCGTGCCCAAATTTCTCCTTGAACTCATTGCCATGCGGCATTCGAAGCACGGATCTCGTGGTGACTCGCGTTCGAATCTGTTTGCAGACGGTCTTTTTCTATGATGTATAAGCAGTATGACCCCGACTTAAGAGGGTCGTACAGAGTCCATCAGGATGAAAAACCGATTCGGAGCGCGTTGCGGACACGGCTTTTGATTCAGAGGGCTCTGTTCGCACTTTGGGCGATTCCACATTGCTCAGAGGGAAGGGAAGAATCTTTATCAGTATTTGTTAATTCAGTTTGGCTGCGTTATCAAATCGCCTTCTTCCCTCCAACCCCAACCACCGTGTCAGCCACGCGCCCCGAATGGGTCTTTCGTACTGCTGGCGAGTGTACATTCAAGCGGCATCACCTTGTCCCGTGGGAAGTATACAGAATACACTCTAAAAAAGAAAAGGAGAGAGAAGGTGGCAACGGCGGGTTTTCCTCCCTTCTACTGGCGCGCCCCCCAGCGGGCACGAGAACATAAGGGTAGGGAGAAGTGTTTTCTCTTTCTCCAGGCAGACGGGAAGAAGGTTGCGCTCTCCCGCCTCATCTAATTTTTGGTTTCGTTTTTGAGGCACGTCGCGCGCGTTCTCTAATAAACGCTTTTGAGCTGAGTCAGCGTCAGCGGCAGCGAAGGCCGTGTGCAATTCAATCTCCCGTTCAAACACGCAGAGCGCCTTGTTTTCAGTGACAGTTTTACCACTAAGTTCGTCAAATGAGCAAACGAAGACGTTAGAAACAGCGACGTTCTGGAGCAGTGCTACGTCAACTGGGATAAGATGGCCGTCTCCGCAACTCAGCAAGCTCAGCGCCAAAGCGGCCAACGGTGCCAGCGACGATCGCCGTGGTTTTTTTTATCTCCGCGTGTCACCAACATCGCTATGGAAGTGTTATAAACAAACACAGGAATCGTCGACTCGTACATGCTACCACGCGTTGCGCTTGCCACTGGTGTAAGTGCAAGATCAGATCACATATACCGTCGCATGTTGACATTCTGTTTTACACTAAAGAGTTTAAGAAGACTGGTTGAGTGATTGCATGCAATCGATCGACGTGCAGGTCACGTTGCAACGCTGCCTGAACCTGAGCTCCAATCTTACGGGCCGATGTAACTGTCGCCTGCAATGTCATGTTCCCTTTTCGAGAGAAATTGTGCTCCCAAGGAAAAGCTGAAGATTCTTGAAATACGACTGAAAATAGGTATATTTACAGATTGGTATATTATCATTAAACGAAATCAGACAGAAAGACCGAAGTGGTGTAGGATAATTTCATTTCTGTTATGGCCGGATTGTGTTTAGTCGACAGCCGGCTTGTGGCCCAGAAGCTCGCTTTCAAACTTGCCGCGGCGTAGCTAGAGGTATACACCTTCCGCAAATGGCGGATTTAAGCACATTCATATGGGCCAAATTCCGATTGCTCTGCCCGTGAAGCACCACTTCCTGCTCAGTCAGAACCTCCTTTACAAATATTTATTCAAGACGACCATTGGTGCCGCACACAAAGAACGCAAAAACAGAAAAAAAAAAAACCTATAGACCATTTCATTTAGCGCTCTCAGGGCGGCGTCGTTTTGTTAGACCGCAGCGCCCTCTCCACACATCTGGGAACTTCAGCAGGTTCGGCGGGATAGAATGAGACAAAAGGCACGCACCCGATTCTGCTAGCAGACGACAAACCGGGTGGTTGCCCTTCTCCATCTTTGGGCTGTACCGGCGGGCTGTAACGAACATCGAACTCTCGCTCGTGGCTGTCGTTGCGAAGTGGTTCGCGTTCTTAGAGCATTTATGTCTACTCTAAAATCAAACCTTTAGCGCTCTATTGTTTTATTTCAGTAAATGATCAATTAGCGTATCTTTGTTCCGTTACTTCAATAGCAGTGGAGTCAGCCGGCAACTCAACCACTGC